CAGTGGTTTTAATGTTTTGGCTGATCACTGTACATATATATATATATATATATATATGTGTGTATACTGTATATGTCAAGCAATTAAACGTTCAATATAAATTAATTTTGTTAGATGTGTCGTATTTAAGCTGCTGGACTTTGGACTGACAATTTTCAGTCCTGTCAATCGTCAGTCCATTGCAATCCATACTGCAAGCGAGTTAGTTAGTTGGTCACATGTTGCGTCTGACCATCTGATTGAGTGCGATGTGACAAGGCTGCACTAGCATCAGAGCTAGCTAGCTCGGACCTCCACATTCGCTGTTAATTGCTTTGTGTTGAGGTGATATTTCAGGCTTTAAGTTCTCAGATGATACAAAAATTCCTTCCTGCAGAAACTGCAGACAGAGAACGGTGCTCCTATGAAGAGTTCCATCTGGGTGTTTTTTAAACGTTCCAGTCACGGGGCCGAGCAGCGTCTTCTCGTCTGCCTCCATCATGTGACAAAGCCACTGTGGCCTTTAATGACACACCGGGTCAAAGGGCAGCCCTAATATATATTTATATTTCTCCATACGTTAATTTATTGAGTCCAATGGGAACGTTGAAAACTTATAGGATGTGTTTTTTAAAAATGCAAAATAATATGACACAAGCCAACACTCATATTGTTTGTACAGTATGCATGTATCTATCTGATCTTTCGTGCTTTGTGGGTCAGGATTAATCCTGGGGTGTGTGTGTGTGTGTGTGTGTGTGTGTGTGTGTGTTACCAGGTAAGTAGGTGACATGTCAGCAGGCAGTGGTGTTGTGATGGAATAAAGCTAAATAGAGGCCCAGTGAATCAGTGCCCCTGTAGGCCTGTGGCCTATTTACCAGCACACAGCCAGAAGGACATGGACACAAACATGCATGTGTGTTATGACACAGACTCCTGCCCCACTGCAGACACACACACTGGATGCAGACACATATTGACTCAGAGGCATGCATTATTTACTGCCAGTATAAATGTTTGTGCTGATATGCTGTACTACTGAGCAATAAAACAGCTGACATCATCTCTATTATTAGATTGATCTTATTACATTATCATAGGATACATGCACGATTAAGATCCAAACTAAACATACTTGCATGTGTGTGTGATAACCTGTACAGCAGCAATCATTCACATGTAGGCAATGTTGGTGCACTGGTGCATCCCCTCCCCCCCCACCACACACACATACACACAAACTTTCACAGGCACATTAAAGCCCCCTCTGCCCCCTCACATTTCTCTTCCCACCAACCAGACATCGTCTGAGTTCAGCTGCCTGCTGATGGCACTAATGCCACTTGCCCCCACAAGAATTCTGCCCTCCCCTTTTTAAACACAAGCACCCGAGCGTAAACACAAATTAAGCAACATGAGCCCAACAAGAGGCCACCGTGCCATCTAGCACTGTCCATTAGAGTCCGTGGAGGAATTGTCTATGATAAGAATCACACACACACAACAGCCAACAGCCAACAGCCTCTAAAATAAGCACAGAGATGATTATCAGATCTCTGACACAGTCTCAACAAACATGAATACTTTGAGCTTAACAAAGACTTGTTGTTGGGATAGCGTGTTTGGGAGCTAGCTAGCTAGATGTACCTGTAGTGTGTAGATGTAACTCAGCAGCCCAGAGTATAAACAGTAACTCTGTTAAACTTTGGGGTAGAACATGTTTGTCATTTTTACATTTTGTCCACCCAACCCCAGGTTGGAGCCAATGCAAATAGCCACCTGTGCAGACCTCAAAAAGTTATCACAAGTACCAGCTTGTGTTTCGCTGAGACCGAAACCAGCTGGTCTTAAACCATGCTAGGATAAATGCTGGCATTGTACATTTCTGCAAACCATGGGTACATTAGATTTTTACGTCATCATGTAGTGCATACGTTATACCTTAAGATATCTTTGGGTTTCAACATCGTTGTGGTTGTGTGGTTGGGATTAGGCACACAAAGCACTCTGTGGGCTGCTTAAACAGCCCGTCCCCTAAAATAGGGAGCGTATTGAAATTTTCATTTTTTAAATTTTCAGTTCACAGCATATTAGTTGCACACATTGTTAAAAATACTTTTCTATTATGGTATTAAACATTCAAATTTCAGGTTCAATCCTTTCTGGTTATTTACTGTTAAAGGACTTATTTTAAGATATTGGTGGGAGGGTTTTGCAGGGTACTCCAAAGTCAAGGAGACGGTCCAAGGAAAAGTGCTAATAACTCAGAAGTTGTCAAATACCTGAGCTTGGGCAGTGACTTCCAGCATCAGACACTGATGAAAAAAGCCATCCTTGATACACCGCTGGTCGGCGTTATTGTGTAAGGATGCCCAGTGGCGTCAGGAGGAAACACAGCTGGACAGCAATGTAAGATAAGAGGGCAAAAGTCCAAGAAGGGTGGGTGGAAGGGGCTGTGGATGGGTCCAACAACCACCTGGGAGGCTGTTGGACCTGTGTTCACTTCCTGTGTAATTGTAACGCCAAAGCCTGTTCTTTTTTCCTTAACCCAACCATGTGAGTGTTGGCTAAACGTAACCACGTGCGTTTGTTGTTGAAGGAAAAAAAGTCAGTTAGCAGTGTTGTACTGACGTAGTGAGTTTATTGTGAAAGAGACTGTCGGCAAACTGTACATGTCCTGTGAAGCTGTGAAAACAGAAGTGTATTTTGAAAACAGACAATTCACGTAACAGGTCGAAGGTGACACGGCGTCCCAGAAGGTCAACAACCAACACACGCAGGGTACCTTTCATGATATATCTCGACGTGGAGAGTCCATGACCAAACGTCGATTATAGATCTGCATTCATACAGTTTGTTGTAATGCAACAGCATCAACAGATAACTTCTGATGTTTTTGCATGTTGCCCAGCATGTATTGTGATGTGGAGATTTTTAACAATTTCTTTAACTGCATCAAATAAAGTTTGAATGACCCGCAGGCCTCTTGTAAAAAACTAACAGCAGCACTTGTAAAAATAAAAGGTATTATTAGCAGGGTTTAGTTTTGCCCCCCAGGTAAATATAGGCTCAACCATTCCTCCGACAGCTTTCACCCTCCTCCTTCTGTGTTTTCCACTCATCATCTCAGTGGGTCATCACTGCTTGCTCATTTTCATTGCTGTTTCTCTGTTCCTCTTCATCACAACATTTTCTGTCTTGTCTCTCATTTTTTCTGCAGCCAAAGCCAGAGAACGCAGTGACCATTGCAGTTTCCTCTCGGGTCTTGTTTCGGACCGAGCGAGAGCAGAGGGTGTTTGAGCAGAAAGGGGTGGAGGAGTATTTGAGGTACCAAATCGAACACGAGAACGAACCCTTCGCCCCCGGACCTGCTTTCCCCTTCGTCAAGGTTAAAGTCACACAAACACACAGTCACATTACAAATCCCAGCCCAATCACTAGATGGTGATGTTGGCACTGTACATTTCTGCAAACCATGAAAATCTCACATTTTATATGTATCATTTCAAAGTTTGTAAAGGAACATAGTATATGGGTTGACTTTGTTGTGAGGTGGTGACACCTGCCAAGCTGCAGAACACTGTGCGAGACCAACAAAACACAAACACCTGTAAGTCATTAATGCATTTTTAGTGACTTTTTAGCCACCGAACTTTGCTGTTTTTTAGTCACCTGTTGCATGTTTTTACCGGGAAAATTGCCACAAAAAGCAACTATTTTTTACCAAGACATTGCTGCATTTCCAGCCAGGATAGTGCCACAAAAAGTGATTGTTTTTTTACGGAGACATCACTGTGTTTCCAGCCCAGATCATGCCATGAATAGCAATTGTTTTTTACAGAGACAGCCCTGTATTTTCCAGCCAGGATAGTGTCAGAAAAAGCAGTTGTTTTTATATGAAACATCATTGCTATATTGCCAGCGGGGACAGTGTGATAAAAAGCGTTATCTTTTTATGAGACATCCCTACATTTCCAGCCAGGATAGTGTCTTAAAAAGAGTTTAATTTTTACAAGACATACCTGCATTTCCAGCTGAGATAGTGTCACAAAAAGCAGTTGTTTTTATACAAAACATCATTGCTATATTACCCACTGGGACAGTGTCATGAAAAGAGTTTTGTTTTCATGAGACATCCCTACATTTCCAGCCGGGATAGTCTCTTTCAAAGAGTTTAATTTTTACAAGACATACCTGCATTTCCAGCTGAGACAGTGTCACAAAAAGTGGTTTTTTTTTTAAAGAGACATCCCTATATTTCCAGCCAGGATAGTGTCTTACAAAGAGGTTAATTTTTACAAGACATACCTGCATTTCCAGCTGAGATAGTGTCACAAAAAGCGGTTGGTTTTTTACGGAGACATCACTGCATTTCCAGCTGGGATAGTGCCAGGAAAAACATGAAGACACCGCTGCATTTCCCTCAGAACAGTGCCATGAAGAGTGGGTATTTTTTACGGAGACATTGCTGCATTTCCAGCTGAGATAATACCACCAAGAGCGGCTATTTTGAGCCTAATCCAAATGTTTTTTGTGCTTAAACTTAACCACATGTTAACCACAGTGTTGTTGAAATGTAAAGACACGTAAAGTTTTAACAAATCTGCTACAACATAAAAATGTAAAAACATACCAGTGTAACGTGGTTTGCAGAAACAAACAGAAACAATGCCTTCATTTATTCTGGCGACTGTGTTGCAAATACAGCGTAGTTTAATTAGCAGACTGCACGTTCGACTTATTTTGTCCCGTCACAGGCTCTGGAGGCAGTGAACGCTCGTCTGCGGGAGCTGTACCCACAAAGCGAAGAACTATTTGACATTGTTTTGGTGACGTACAACCATGCCCACGTAGGAATCCGACTCATCAACACCATCAACCATCACAGTAAGTTTTACAAGAGAGTTCATTTTAAACGTGTGCATCAAGCTGAGAAAATAGGTGCTTTATACTTAGCATCTTTTCCAGAGTTAGACAGCAATGGCAATAACGCAGCAGGTTAAAGCCCCGCTACGCAGAATCTGAAAATTTATGACTGTGGCGACCCTCAGTGGCATTATCAGATGATACAGTGTGGCAGGCAGGATTGTGGCTATAAATAGTTTCCTGTCATGGTGCAGCTCATTGATAGCTTGGTACGAGATCAGATTTCAAACAGCTACACAGACACTTACAATTCAGTTTGACAAGATTATTACCTCACTGTCTGTGCAGCCAAACTGACACTGTGCATAAACATAGAATCTAAATGAAATGACATAGAAGAGATTAAATTAAAATAAAAAAGAAAGACAAAACTTGACCACTGTATTAGATGTTTAAAGGCATATACTGATGTAATGAGATACTGAAGCTGATGCAAACTAAGCTGAGAGACAAACAGCAAAGTGTGTGAACAGCTGACTGACTGGACCCTTCCCAGGAAAATCTCAGACCCTGTGATGACGTCTTCCTCACCGACCGCTTCCTGTTCAGCTCCTCATGTGTTTTCATGTCCCCGGATCTTCGCTCCAGGGTCAGATCAAGATTACATCCTTCGGGATGTAAAAATAATCTGAGGGGGACGAAACAAAAACAGGTCCGAGCGGAGCCACCAAAGCAACACACGGCCATCCAGATGCTTCCATGTTAGATCTCTCTGGTAGCTCCCAGCATGAGGGGGCCCGGTACATTAGAACAGTCTGCTGACCACCGACCTTTCCTACAGAGCTAAATGCAAACATGGCTTTTCTGATGTCACAGAGATAAGGGTTTGCTGACCAGCTCCTCTGCCAGCGATGGACCTCCACGGGAGACAGGGTCATGAAAAATGATTAAGGAAAAAACTATTAATGTGTTTGAGCCTCAGACAAACATTATCATTCACCTCTCATCACCTGCTTACACTGGCTATTTTTAACAGCCGCAGGGTGAGGTATAAAGTTTCTCTCTTTGCATTTGGATTACTGGGGACATGTATAGAGTTGGTGCATGGCTGCAAATGACAAGTAAACATGCCCGCCGACAGTTTCATTCATCTGCTTTGCATGTATAACATGGAGGACCCAAGGGCCACGATGACTGGCAGGTCCTGTAATTTCCTCTGTGTGCAGCAAATTGAGATTTCATGTGATAACATTTTCGTTCTCTATGGAAATCAAAACTGGAGCCACTACACGACCTCATATATGCGTGGTTATGCATAGAAGCCCAAACTGACACACACCTCTGGCTGTCAAGTATTGACAGTGAGGCTGTGTCTCTGCAGTCCTGCTGATTTCCTGCCTTCCTATTACCATGTTTTAGATCTTCTGACCAAGCAAATAAAACATACAAAGACAGATTATATGAAAACATTTTTGCAAGGGGGGAAAAAAGATACAAAGACATCAATGGTGAGGAGATTTTCCATCAAGTGACTCCCACGCTCCGTCCTGTCTTAAAGGCAGGGGACACTCGGGAGGTTTGACATGATGAGGTGCAGTATAGGGCGGGGGCCAAACTCACCAGGGCCTGACTACAAAGCTGAATAAACCATGAAGGGAATCTGTAGAGGACAGTCACTACTTTGAACTCTGTTCCTCTGTTTCTTTAAGTCTCCATCTGCCTTCAGCCGGTCTATGAGTCATACTGTATATGCCTCTCTTTGTGTCCACAAGTCTTTCTGTACTTCTTTTAAACCTGCACTGCACTACTTTGCACTTTTGCAAATCCAAATAGAGTAAGTTGATGTTCAAAACATTAAATCCATCCTTCAAGAGTGTACTGCTGATGAGCTCACATTCCTCTGGACGCAGTCCTCAGATGGTGGCTCATGTTGCATTTTCTTCTATATCTTTAAATGAAATGGCAGCTGGGGAAAAGCTACCTGTTAGCACCCTGATGAAGGTAAAACAGCTGAAGACATTTAGTGATAAAGCATGTAGTTCTGGGGACAAGTCATGTTTTATTTTTGAGGGATTAGCATTAAGTTTATTGCTATACCTGCATTCTCGTAGTTAGACAATATATCCAGTTTTGGAGTTTTGGGGAGGAATAAACAATATGTAATTAAACAAGTAGTTTAACTAAATGTTGCAGTAGCTTAAGTCACATTTCAAAGTTCAGAAAGGAAGGGCTTAATGCAAAAACAGGTCAGCAGACTGGACAGAAAGTGAGCGTTAAAGTTCTAGTGTGGGTGATTTCGTGGCATCTAGCGGTGAGATTGCAGAACTAAAACTTCTCCCATGAGCCAATTATGTTGGGTGGCTGAGGCAAAAACGTGAATGTCTCTATCTAGAGTAATTTTTTGGTCCGTTGTGGTTAGAGCAACATGGCGGAGTCTGTGGCAGAAGACCCGTCCCTATATAGATATAAACGGCTCATTCTAAGGTAATGAAAACACAGTTCTTATTTTCAGGTGATTAAAAACCAATAAAACATAGTTTTAATTGTTAATTTTGCCAGTATATGCCACTAAATTCTACACACTGGACCTTTAATGTAAAGGCTGGTACAGAGAACAAAGAAAGGAGAGATATTGGACGATGGACACCAGCAGCAAACGCAAACAACCTGACAACTGACTAAATACACACAGGACTGATCAACTGATGAAAAACAGGTGTAAGGGAAATAAGTTAGGAAAAAGACAGTAGCCCCTTTTACACTGCCAGATTTTCCACGAATGTTGGGCCGTTTTGCCGGCAAGCTGCAAGCGTTTAGACACACAGAGGTGGAATGGCGAGTTGATCTGAGGTGCCCAGTTTTCCGCCTCGTAGGGTAGACATATTGCCGGAACTCTTTTAGTTTAATCAGACCAAGGCAGCCTTCCACAACAGGAGGGGCTGTTGATGACTTGTGGGAGGAGCTGTTGATGACTCCGCACGTGCGACCCACTGGCGGTGGATAAACAGGAAACAGCTGATAGCAGGAATTAGCGAGCAGCTAATAGCAAGAGGGAAACACAAACCTGACAGACACTGTAAAGATGAGCAACTGGGGAGACAAGGAATCGCACGCCCTCCTTGTCCTCGCAAACGAAGAGGCCATTAACCATCAGATGACGGGGACGGTGAAGAACGGGTCGACTTACGAGGGAATCGCCGACTTACCAGCCGCGGCTTCCCTGAAAAAGGCGCATTCTGTATAACCAAAAGTAGGCAGGCGGCATTTTGCTGCACTCCCCGCTTTTGTTTTTATACTGCCAATACTGAAAAAAGACTGATTGGGCTTTCCTGCAAATTTGCACAACTCCTGTTTAAAAAGGGCTAAAGACAGGGAGTAAAACAAGACATGACACATGAGGAGTGGCCTTCACAATAAGTAACAGATATAAACAAATACAAACGGATTAAGTGTTACAAACTGGGGTCGTGAAGTTTGAAAAACGTGAGTGTTTAGCTGCAGGGATCTATTGAAAATATCCTGTTGGTTGCATTATGGGAAATGTAGGCTCCAGCTGTTGAGGTGTGACTCATACGAAGGACAAAAAATCAACATTTTGGCCTCAGCTGCATCAATTTTGACCATTCTTTTATTATTTGTCTCTAAAAAGTCTCTCATCTTTAGAGAGGTGCAATATAAAACTGCTGGAGTATCCTTGTCTCAGACAAGTTTCTTTCCTGCTGCAGCTTTGAATAAATGCTTTAACCTCGCCATTTCTCTTTTCACAATCAGCACATCAATCTCCCACTCACAATAACCTTCTCTTTCACTATATCTCCATCTATCTTACGTGTCACTCACCTATTCTCACTCTATTACAGCCCTCAGCTCTCAAACACATTCTGTCACATCTCCATCCTGACATTAGTCTAATGCTCCACACGATCCTCCCGTGGCCTCTCGCTCTGTTCCTTCATAAATATCAGATCATTTTACCTGAACAGCTCTGTAGTCATGGATCTAATTACCTAATATCAGTCTCCTCTCGTTCTCCACATACCACCTCTCCTCTGCTGAATGAAGAGCCTTCTTCAGCCAAAAAGCAAGCAGACACTCAGCCACCAATCATTCCCTGTTCCTCTCCTCTGCACAGCCTCGCCCCTCCCACAGTCCCCTCTTCACCCTGCTAGTTAACCCCCTTTGAACCCTCTACACCTTTTAAGTCTTTGTATGTTAATCCTCTCACCATGTCCTTAACCCCATCTCCTCCCACTTCACCCTCCGTGACGCCATGACAGATTTAGAGCTTCAGCTCCTGGCTGACATATGGAGGTTTCTGTTTTGATTCTGTCGTTTTGTGTCTGGGTGTGTTATGCTGCAAATGTGCTGCATGCTGACATTTAACACGGGATGAAACTGACACTGAAACTAAAAACCTTGTTCTTGTTTGTTGTTCTTGTCCCCAGATTTGTTTATTGAGAGGTTTTGTATGACGGGGGGAAGCAGTCCTATTGGCTACCTGAAGGCCTGGCACACCAACCTCTACCTGTCAGCTGATGCTGACAAGGTCAGGGAGGCACTGGCTGAAGGTGAGCAAACACACACACACACACACACGCAGAGAGACAAAGATTAGGAAGATTAAGTTTAATTTTGTGAGGTATCTGTTACCTAAGAATTAGAGGTGATGACCTACAGCGCTGCAAAGCTGAAAAGTGATATGACTGCAAGATAAACAAGTCGGCATAGTAAAATTTGCAAAGCACAGTCCCAGTTATCAGTCTTACCATGTTTCATTGGATCACAGTCAGGATATTATAGCCCACTGAAGCTTTGTATGGTGTTGACTTGGATCGTGAATGACATTGAGTGAAACAGCAACAGGTTGCCCAAAACATAACCCACATTCTGTGGCTAAGAAACCGCTGGAAACACTGCAATAACTTGCTAAAAACCAACCAATTTTGTTGTTTGCTGGTCTCAAACAATGGTCTGCAGCTTGGCAGGTGTCACGCCATGCGCCATCCCCTCCACCTCCAAATGACAAAGTCAGCGTATACTCCATTGCTTTAGAAACGTTGATATGATACATATGAAACATCAATTCATTGCATTTGTGGTTTGCAGAAACATACCATGCCAACATTTTCTTCTGGCAACTGGGCCGCATGATTAATTACATGTAAGAAACAAGGACTGGGCCGTAATCTGCTGCATGATTTATTCTTTGTAAAAAAAATAAATAAATAAAAAAATAAAATAAAATAAAATCCTCACATTCTCTCAGTTTTGTTACTGTGCAAAAGAGTCAGATTAGTCATTAGAATAAAATGTTGGCATTGTACATTTTTGCAAACCACGGATACGATCCTGCCGCTTTGTCAGTGGACATACACGTAAGAATCTGATGTGCTAGGTACCCTCTCATGTCAGTTTTGGATGCTCGGGGACAGCGTGTCAATTTACGCTTGTGACCTTAATTGTGTCTTTTCAAGATTAAACTTACCTTGCAAGTAAAACTCTTCATTTTTAGGTTTATTTCCTTAACTTTAGACAACAAAAGCACGTGGTCAGGGCTAGAAAAAAACATCATGATTTGTCTTAAAATTCCTATGGTAAATGAACAGCAGCCTCCCAGGTGAATGTCCAGAGTTTTTCTGACTTATCCACCTCCCCTCCCGCCCCTCCCTATATACGCTTTCTCACTCATTATGTTACAGTCGTTACAAACTGCCAAAGTCTGGTACATAACTGATACTGCTGAGAAAGGTGCCTTTGACGCCAACATCCATTGACAGAGCGCTGGGTTGTTGCCTGCTGCCTCTAAAACTTATGTTTCGTATCATACCTCTGTATAAGGTGCCTCTGTGCATCAGTAACAATGACATTACTGACAAAGTGGTGGTATTTGATGAGTTTGGAGTAAGAACAGGCTGGAGACACTGAGGAGAAACAGCTGCAGAGCTGCAGACCACCATGTAGGCTGAGTCTTTTGCAGTGGGTTAGAATCCGATCTGTGACCCTTTGCTTAGTGACACCCCCCTTTCACTCTCCAGCTGTAATAAAGGCAATAAAGAAGCCCTAAAAGATAATTTTAATTTAAAAAAGTGTAAAGTTTGAACATATCTGCTACATACAAAGGTTACAGGTGAATGGTTTGCATTGTACAATGTCAACATTTATTCTGCTTTCTTTTTTAGTTAATTGACCTATGGCTAAGCCACGCCCCCTCCACTTACTCGGACAAACATTCAGTGAGCGGCGCTATGGCAGGTGTCACAGTACACGGCATTTCGCAGGAGAAATTGATGATTTTTGGGGACATAACGATCAGATGTCATTGAGAAGTAACCAAAAGGGCCTAAACTACGCATTGGAGGGATATATTCATCATTTTATTGTTGAGAAGGTCGATGAAAAGCTTAAATTACAAGCCAAAATTTACAGGTCACAGTGTAAGCTTGTGAACCGCATCTGGTTGCCGTCACCATCAAAGACAACAAGTTAAAGTGCCACTGAAGTTAAGGTTTTTGGCTCAGAATATGAGAAAAGGATAACGGCCTTTTTACCATCTTTACCAAGAGTGTCTCTCCGTTAGTTTGGTGCTACAGTATTTACACTGAATCATTCAGCATAACGTTTGCCAACCTTTGTTATCTCTGCCATTACAGATAAGTTAATGAAGCTAAGCTCCAGAAGTTAACGTTAGCTTAACTAGAGCCCTTTGGACAACAGCTAACAATGATGTACGATCACCAAAGTACAAAACTAGAACAAAATAGGCTAATGAACTCCCAGCAAACAAGGTGACATGATGAACAACGCAGCTAGGAGCTAACGTTAGGCTAACTTTAGCTAACGTTAGCTAGAGATGTTAAAGATAACTTTATATTTCTTTCCAGCAAAGTGACAATATGTTGCCTCAAACACAATGTTGACTTCAGACAGACACTCTATCATGCCTGTTTAGTTTTATTAGTATTATCATAAGCTCAGGTGTAATTGCAAAGTGCAATTGGGGGAAAACTCCAGTACTGCCTTTAAACTTCAATTTAAATGGAAAGAAGTGCGATGCTTTTAAATTCTCACACACAAGATGAGCTGCAAGTAAATTCTCTCTGTCCTGTTTGCATATTGAGCAGAGGTGACTGACATCTTGTGCGATGCTGTAGTCTCATTATCATAAACCGACACATTAACGATTCCCCCTCTCTGTGTTCCCTTGATGGATTCCCGCGTGTCATGGCACATCAAGGCGTACACTAAAGGGAGCACCAGCAGGCTGTAACATCCCATTTGCTCTGGCTGTGGCTCTGAATATGTATATATATTTGAAAACATGGGCTGCTTCCTGCCAAAGAAATACAAGATGTTAAAATGCTCTGCTGACAAGGAGCTGGGAACAGAATACACTGATGTGAAATTTGCAGGACTTGAGGTGACAACCGCTTCTGATGGTTTAAATTTGTTCAGTGCAGCACATTTCATGCTGCATTATTATTGCTGTCAGAAAGGAAGAGCTCATACTGAAATAGAGCAAATAGGGTCGAAACTAAAAGGAAAATCCTGCAAAGCCGATCCAGAATAGAAGAAACCAGTTTCAAACTAACTGATTCTACGAAACGACATGTTGTTTTTCCTGTGTCACAGCCTGTGTGCAAAGAGGGCTGAAGGAAAATTAACTGGAGAGCTGATTGATCACAGCATGACCACATACTTCTCAAGGTGACTTCATGTGACTTACACGCTTCATGTCAGTAATGCAGTGACTGTGTGAAGCATACACCCACCAGCAACCCCCCCCCCCCCCCCACACACACACACACACACACACTCAAAAGACTCAAGCAAAGGAAGTGTCCTTGACATTCTACGTGAAAGGTCTCAATCAGCTGCGAAGCCTCTTGTTATGTAACACTTTCTGTACGCTGAAGGCCATCACTAGTATCTGATCTGAGAGTGTTTTAAATAGCATTAATATCACAGCAGCTGCAACAACATCAATAATACTTTGCTGATTTGGTCTATTCAAAGCAGGAAGTAAAGTGAAAGGCAGTTCTAACTACAGACTGTGGAAGTAACCATGCTAACATCACCCATTGGTTTGTGGACTCTTGTTTTGAAGCCTCAAATTTGACATTTTGGAAGTCAAATATTTGGACCAATGGGTGGAGATAATCCTAACGCTAGCTGCTAGCTTACTTAGTTACTGCTAGCATGGTGCATTTACAGCTGTGGTTAACCCAGCTGGCATACAACTGACAATGTTAAATTGTGATGGTTGTAAAAAGGTTGGCAAATTTTTTTTATATCAACATTTAAATTTCAGAAAGATGTTTCAATGGTGAAACAGTGTTTGTGTTGTGAAATCAACGCTGATTCATCTTTCAAAATCAAAACACAATTCAGCAGTGATTTAATCATGGTATATGGCGTTGATTTAACAGTGAATAAACATTGGAACTTAACTGGATTAACTGGGATCATGCTAATGCTATATCTGCTGGCAAAAAAACAAGATTTTAACCAATAAAACCAATATACACCTTTATGTGATGAGCCACGCCCTCCACAATATTCATTGCCTTATAGAAGCTCAGTTTTAGTAAGTTTTCCAACTTTTGCCAAGAGGGAACTTTAGATATTGGTCCCTAGATTATGTTCACCCAGTTTCATGCAGATCACTCAAACTTATTAACTATTAACTTATTCTTTCTCTTTGATGTCTGTGTCTGTGTCCAGGCATCGCAGCAGCCACCATGTTCATGCCAGAGAAGCTGACGGAGGTATCGGAGTCCCAGCTGAGGGTGGCGTTTGATGGTGACGCTGTCCTCTTCTCTGATGAATCGGAGCGCATCTTCAAGGCCCACGGGCTGGACAAGTTCTTTGAACATGAGAGGGACAACGAGGACACGCTGTTGGATCATGTAGGTGGTTTTCACTGGAGGTCATTGTGCTGACGTCATGAATATATTACAGTGCAGATTGCATTTCACTCTATCTATGAATAAGCATGTTTTTTTTGTACAGTAATTAAAGGGAAATTTCGGTTTATTTCAACCTGTCTCCTATCGTCCTAAATTTGTTTAAAGTGACTAGTGACATAAAAATAATAGTTAGCATGTTAGCCGTTAGCCTAGATACAGCCGGGGCGCATAGTAGCGTCAGACCTGTTAAAACGTAAGTGAACGGGCAACCTTCAAGTGCAAAGTTAGTCCACTAAACAAGCTTTTTTTCCACAAAGACCGCCTCATATCGTTAGGATAAATGTCAGAGAACATATAGAAAACGACATGTAAACGTGTTGTCTTACCTTACCGGTGTGCTGCCATGTTTGTTTACCATTTAGCTCTGCTTTCCAAAGCGCGGCCGAAATATATCTCGCGAGCTCTAGATAAAGCCCAGCTGGATACTACTCCAGGTGGAGGTGTCTCGTCCTCGGTCACATCCAGACCTTGAAAATAAGGCTGCAACCGGTCCCATTCCTTGCAACAGAGGCATTCCTCTTCTGTGGGCACTGGGGCACAGCATTCACAGGTACACCACCAATCTCCAGAGCTACGCAGCCTTGCAGCAGCCATTCCTCCTCTCTCGTCCTCTACCTGTTGCGCCTCTCTCTCTCTCCTCCTCCGTTCTTCAATTTCACAAAGTTCTTCTGTTTACCATCTAGCTCTGCTTTCCAAAGCGCAGCCGAAATATCACGAGAACAAGCAGCGATCTCGTACCGTGCCTGAAATCTCGCGAGAACAAGCAGCAACAGCTGGAAGGCAGAACCGGACAGTATCCTGAAAAGTTCATTCATTTATTTTATGAAAGATTTATAGAATAATGGCTGACATTTTGCCAGACTTCGACTTTGTGGAGGAGGAATTTGATTTTGCAGAGTTTGATGGCTGCCCTTATTTATTTGAGCCAAAATACACTGACGAAGAGCTTCCCCACAGAAGAGGAATGCCTCTGTTGCAAGGAATGGGACCGGCTGCAGCCTTATTTTCAAGGTCTGGATGACACCGAGGACCAGACACCTCCGCCTGGAGTAACGTTAGTATCCAGCTGGGCTTTATCTAGAGCTCGCGAGATATATTTCGGCTACGCTTTGGAAAGCACAGCTAAATGGTAAACAAACATGGCAGCACACCGGTAAGGTAAGACAACAAGTTTACATGTCGTTTTCTATATGTTCTCTGACATTTATCCTAACGATATGAGGCGGTCTTTGTGGAAAAAAAGCTTGTTTAGTGGACTAACTTTGCACTTGAAGGTTGCCCGTTCACTTACATTTTAACAGGTCTGACACTACTATGCGCCCCAGCTGTATCTAGGCTAACGGACAACATGCTAACTATTATTTCTATGTCACTAGTCACTTGAAACAAATTTAGGACGATAGGAGACAGGTTGAAATAAACTGAAATTTCCCTTTAAAGAGAAAGCTTTAAATCTTACTTGCCTTTGTAGCCCTGCAATGCCATTTCCATGCAGCCCTAATCACCCATGAATGATCATGTAGCTGTACTTGATATAAAATGTAATCAACTGATAACTCTTTGAATGAATTGTGCAACATTATATGATAAATGGTTTCAGACTGTCAGTTGATGCATTGTTCAACCAGCACTTTATTAAATTAGCTTTGAGTTATGCAGGCTTGAGAAGAAGTTATGCTGAAGTTTGCTCATGCTACACGAGTATATAGATGTGGAATGACACAGCAATAAGACCTGATGATGCCAGGTGTAAAACACACAAAACAAAACACTGAAACAAAAGAACACACTGATTTCTCATCATCTCTTTCCTCCTCTGTGTCAGGGCCCCCTGAAGGGCTTCCTGGAGGCACTGGGGAAGCTCCAGAAAAAGTTTTACGCCAAAGGCCAGCGCCTGGACTGTCCCATCCGAACATACTTGGTCACAGCTCGCAGCGCGGCCAGCTCTGGGATCCGGGCGCTGAAGACACTCAGGGCCTGGGGCTTGGAGATCGACGAGGCCTTGTTCCTCGCAGGGGCACCGAAGGGCCCCATGTTGGAAAAGATCAGGCCTCATATCTACTTTGATGATCAGATGTTTCATGTGGAGGGAGCGGCCGAGATGGGCACCATCGCTGCCCACGTGCCCTACGGTGTGGCACAGAAACATACGGCCAAACAGAACACTAGTGTGGGGAAGTAGACAGCAGGACTTCAGGTGCCAATGACAACAGAAGGACTATGGGATGGAGAAACATCTTAGAGAAAAGCAAAGTGAAGCTCAGAAGTTTCAGAGCATGGAGACATGAACTTGTACTGAATTATATGTGGAAATGCATCATTTCCAGAATGTAGCAACTGTACTGTGAGTTTGTTTGATCACATGTAAACAGTCTCAATGCCATCATGCAAGGAGTTACAAACAGGTCTGGGTGGAGCATTTTACACTATGTCAAATCTCCAGTCGACTCAGTACTGATGTGTTTGTCAGATCTTGTGGTATATGGGAAATTCAAAGGTGCTTGATTGCCATGGCGACCCGCAACTTCTCTCACTACTACCTGTCTTCATAGAGAAGACACCTCGTCAGCGAATGCATGAGGATACTGAAGGAATGGCTTCGGTGATATTTACATAACTTGAGTAAAGCACAGAGACGACACTGTATGTTGGCATTAAATGAGCCATGAACACGATGCAGAGATATTATAAAGATTATTATAGTGATGTACTGTAGCACAAGAGTCAGCATTTAAAGTTTATGTGTCAAAGTTTGACTTCACACGAATGTAAAATTGTTTGTTTGCAATGATACAAAATGTGTTGTATGTTACTGAAGATAGTAATATTATGTACTATTGTATTAGTACGAAACAAATACAGAAAGCCATAAGTTTCAGTTGGTGCCTTACTTTCAATGAAGACACTATTTTAAACCCATATGAGCAGTGTGGTCGGGTCAATACTTTGCTCATGAGTAAAATATCTCAACAACTGATGGGTTGCTATAAAATTCAGTTTAGACAAACACCTGCCACTTTATTAGGTACACCTTGGTAGTACCAGGTTGGACCCCTTTTTAATTCTTGGTGTCACAGAATCAACGAGGTGCTGGAAACATTCCTCAGAGATGTTGGTCCATATTGACATGAAGACATCACACAGTTGCTGCAGATTTGTCGGCTGCACATCCATGATGAGAATCTCCCGTTCCAGCACATCCCAAAGGTGCTCTATTGGACTGAGATCTGGTGACTGTGGAGGCCATTGGAGTACAGTGAACTCATTGTCATGTTTGAGATGATGTGAGCTTTGTGACATGGTGCGTTATCCTGCTGGAAGTAGCCATCAGAAGATGGGTACACTGTGGTCATAAAGGGATGGACACGCTCAGCAACAATACTCAGGTAGGCTGTGGTGTTTAAACCATGCTCAGTTGGTACTAAGAAAATCTCCCCCACACCATTACACCACCAGCAGCAGCCTGAAGCGTTGATACAAGGCAGGATGGATCCATGCTTCCATCTGAATGTGGTTTTTCCAATCTTCTATTGTCCAGTTTTGGTGAGAAAACCCGTGTGAATTGTAGCCTCAGTTTCCTGTTGTTAGCTGACAGGAGTGGCACCTGGTGTGGTCTTCTGCTGCTGTAGCCCATCTGCTTCAAGGTTGGACAAGGTGTTGTTGCTTCAGAGATGCTCTTCTGCACACCTTGGTTGGAACCAGTGCTTATTTGACTTCCTGTTGCCTTTCTATCATCTTGAACCAGTCTGGCCATTCTCCTCTGACCTCTGGCATCAACAAGGCATTTTGGCTCACTGGATATTTGCTCTTTTTGGGACCATCCTCTGTAAACCCTAGAGATGGTTGTGCTGAAAATCCCAGTAAATACTCAGACCAGCCCGTCTGGCACCAACAACCATGCCACGTTCAAAGTCACTTCAATCACCTTTCTTCGTCATTCTGATGCTCCGTTTGAACTTCAGTAGCTCGTCTTCATCATGTCTACATGTATTGAGTTGCTGCCACGTGATTGGCTGATTAGCTATTTGCGATTACAAGCAGTTGTACAGGTGTACCTAATAAAGTGGCCAATGAGTGTATTTGGTCTGCAGAGAATGAAACTGAATACATTTCCCTGACTTTTCATGTTGTGTCACAGGTCAGGATTGTACAAACATTTCAGGCACCATTAACATGCTCAAGTTTCACCTCACCTCTACTATTTCATTATTCTGTTAGTAGGCTACAAAACAAATACAGACAGCTATAAGTTTCAGTGGGTGCCTTTAGTTATTTGAACGCAACACGACAGGTCAAAATTGTTGGGGAGACCAGGGGCGTTCGTAATATTTTTTGGTTCTGATGTCATTAGGGACTGTTCATTATTTATGAGAGGGGAGAGGGGGTAGAAAAAGGGGAAAAGGGGAGGCATGTCAAATAGATTTAGAATAGAATACCTTTTTAAGCATTGGGGAGGGACTTATGTTTCTTTTAATTTGGCTTAGCGTAGGGGGACACAACTTTAAATGGCTGTATTTAGTATTTATGTTATGATGATGCTGATTTTTTTACCAACATTACACCATTTATCACAGCCAGAAACTGTAAAAACAGAAACTATTGTTATATTTACAAATTTCTGACGACCCTTGAACGCACTGTTTCATCACAATAACTTTTTTCTACAGGTCTCATTTAGAACTTTGCCAAAAATAAACCTTTTGCACTAACTAACCAGCATGCACGACAAGAGTGAAAACGGAGGCTCTTTTCAACTCCAGGATTTTGTCTTCAACTTGTAACTTCCAGAAATCAAAGGGTAAGTTTTGAGGGAAACAAGTCATGAGACAGTCCTTTTCTTTTAAGCTATTTAGATTCTTCTTCTTTACCTTTCAGTTGATTTATTAAAGAAAGGGTTCATATTTCAGTCACAAAGACCTTCCTCAAGACATCACACTCATAAAATGACACACTGCTTAGATACAGCTCATAATTGCATGATGGCTCACAGCTGTGTCACTGTGTCCACAATCACCTGAGGTAACTCATCAAATCAAGGTCACCATGACCCAGCAGATGAATTTTGTAGCACTGAAGAAATTGTATCATTTCATTATTATCAGTGGGCCTTTGGCTGCTTTGAAGGCAACACTTAAAACCATGCCAGCAATGCAGTTCAAGGAAGGTCACAAAATGAATGAATGATTAATTTCAAATCACCCTTTATTGTATGCGCTCCTCTCTTCTCTGTAATGATAATTTGTTTTCATATTAAATACTTGAGAAAGGCACCTGAAAGCAGCACAAGAAAGTGATGTCACTCCAGGTTTCATGGGGTTAACATGGACAGCTTTCCTCTGATACACTATATATGGCACATTTACAGTGAAAAGTAGCCTATGTCTGTACATGGACTCTCTATTAAGGGACTGTTCTTTATGAATCACGCACAGTTATGTACAATTAGCATGCTACAGTTTCCTGCTTTAGCCTGTTAAATGTATTTCATACCATTGAATTTAGGAACATTATTTATCAGCCTGTAGTCCACACACAACACAGCAGCATTACGTCTCAGGAGATGAAACATGAAGTCAAAAAGTGAAGTAACCTGAGGCATGTCAGCAGCGTGGTCCACTCTGGTCCAGAGAAAGATATCAAGACGACTTGGAATCGAGTGGACCCTTTAATGTAGCACCAGCATCAGTCCAAAGTTAAGCTAAAGTGTTCTATACAGTACATGAAATGTTCCTCAGGTCCAGCACCTCACAGTAACAGTACAAATACTCAGATATGATCAAAATGTCCCCTGAATTGCAGACCTTCTATTGGCTATTCTTTTTAAAACTCATCCTGGTAGCTAATGTGAGGAAACTACAGCCTCTGTGCAGGGTGAGTGGTTCCTCACAAACTCAAGTATCACAACAACATTCACTGAGCAGCTATCTTGATTTTACTGCCCTCTCCTGTGAATCAAAGTAAGTACAGAGTCACGCTCTGCTCAGGAGGATCTGTTGATGTTGTACAGATTAAGCAATTAACGTCAATATTTTATCTTAGTTACAGCACGACTTCTGTTTGATTCAGAAACATGAATATATCATTCATTGACAAAATGGCCTTTTCAAAATGCCAATCCACTTCACATCCACTTCACATCACTGCTGGAAAGTCCTTAGTGATGCTTCATTACACCTCATTATCAGCCTACTGAGGACCTTGAAGCTTTGGAAAGTAACAAGCAGCCACAAGTTTAATTTCACAGCCAATACACATAATTACACTGAAGTTTTGTTTTTGTTTTTGTTTGGGTTTTTTTGGTAGACATTTGTGCTATATGATGGCTGACTTGTTGGAAGATACAGTTTCAGCAGGTCCAGACAAAGCAGTTTGAACTTTAGGTGGCATTCAGGAATAGATAAATACGGATCAAACAACGTTTGAACGTTTCAACAAGCTGATTTTGATGGAGGACAAAAAAGATCAACAAATATATGAATAAATCTATAAACAAATAAATAAATACAGGAATACATAGATTCAAAATTTAAAAAATGTTAAAAGAAACACAGGAATACGTAAAGAAAGAAAGAAAGAAAGAAAGAAATGTATCTGTAAATACAGGAATAAATTAATAGATGCAAAAAAAAAATAAATACAGAAATAAATAAATAAATAAATACAGGAATAAGTAAATAAATAAAGAAAGAAATGTATAAGTAAATACAGAAATAAATAAATAGATGCAAAAAATAAATAAGTACAGAAATAAATAAATAAATACAGAAATAAGTAAATAAATAAAGAAATGTATAAGTAAATACAGAAATAAATAAATAGATGCAAAAAATAAATAAATACAGAAATAAATAAATAAATAAATACAGGAATAAGTAAATAAATAAAGAAAGAAATGTATAAGTAAATACAGAAATAAATAAATAGATGCAAAAAATAAATAAGTACAGAAATAAATAAATACAGGAATAAAAAAAAATAAAAATACATTTTTAATAAATACAGAAATAAGATAATACATACAGAAATGAATAAATAAATAAATACAGGAAAAAATAAATGTATGAATAACAATTTAAAGAATAAATAAATGCTGCAATAAATGAATAGATAAAATAATAAAGTAATTAAGACTTAATGAATGCATGTTGAAATAAATATGGAAATAATTAGATAACTGCATGAATAAATAAATTAATAGATAAATAAATGTTAATGATTAAACAGGATATAAATAAGTTAATATTGTTATTCTACACTTGTAAAACTACAGTTATTCATTTGTTTCTGTATTTCTGTGTCTGTATGTTGAAGAGGTCGGAGGTCCAACCTCTGCACTTCTTTATTTCTGTATTTACTGATTTTCATATTTTTCAGCATTAATTCATTCTGTTATTTATTTATTTATTTATTTTTGTATTTATTTATTCCTGAGTTATTTATGCATTTATTATTAAATGTTTTTAAATGTTTTGTCTTCCATGGACATCATCAACCCTTGTGAAAAAAATAGCCTATCAATTAGAAATGTTCATGAGCACTAATAAAGATGTCAATTATAGTCCTTGCTTTACTCACTGATGAAAATAAAAGATCATGTCTGCATTGGGAGTCACTCGCCTGCACTCCTTCTTTCTACCATTGAGTGGCAGCACTGGAATGATAAATGACTCGGTGCAGTGCCTGGTCTTCATTCATCACATGTTGTTTTTATTCAGGATAAAATCATTAAACTGTATCTGTACATCTCACCTCCTCCCATGTCTTCCTAATTTCTTTCTAATTTCCTTCCTTTGGTCACATGTTGTTCCTTACAGTTCCCTGTTAATTCCTCAGAATGAGCAGAATCATATTACTACCCACACTTTCGCTCCCTCTATC